TCTAACGTCTCCTGCAACATCCGTAATTAGCATCAGCATCCGCTTCTTCCTGGAGCTGCATTCGCGAACTCGGATTCACCCACTTTGACTGTCCGACGAGGCGTAGAGTGCGTCCGCTTGTGGTGCCGGGTCGGCGACCGGAACAGCGTCGCTGGAGACGACATATGTCTGTGGACTGGCGGCCGTCCGGTTGTCGGCGTCGACTGGCCGGATTCCGTGGCACTATCAAACCCGGAAACCTGCTCCGTCGGCATCGTGTTGACGCTCAACGCCGCATCATCAATTGGGAGCGGAGCCGTGGTCGCATGTTTGAGGGCGTGATTGGGCTCCATTGTGGGCGAGGTACTGCAGGCAAAGTGCAGCTGGGGAAGGCTTGTGAATGGGAGTGAGAGAGCGTATTTGCCTGCGAGGTCTTTGTAGCTCCGACCCCGCTAACGAAACTGCAAGTGTAGACGACTCGGCGATAGCGCCCTTGACCAGTCTGACAGTGCAACTGTCGTCGAAGGGAAGGTTACAGCTGCCACTTTTGGGGGAGCGAGCACTTTGCGGCGTCCAGCGACGGGACACGCCGGGCCTTTGCAACGGTCCAACAGCAGAACAGCAGGGGAGAAAATGGTTCTGGATGCTGATTGACGGTTGCTCGCAAGGGCCGCCGCTTAACGTTCCCCGCTCGGCCTCAGCCTCGGGGAGCACTAGCCGGAAGTCTGCCAGCCACGTGGGGTGGGGCTCTCGGGGAGCCGCCTTCTTCGGCCGGAGAGACGCGGTCGCGGGTCTGGTCCACGCGCTGTCGCCAGATATACGAAGTATCTACCAACCTCCGAACTCTCGCCGGGTTGAATTCAAGCGATGAAACGACGCGTAACTTTCATAACCCCGCCGGGGAAGGAGATCCCGGACGATGCCCTCCGCCTCACGAAAGACGGCCTTGGAGTAAAGGACCTCAAAGCAATACGGGAGGAGAGGTTTACCTTCGAATACGACGAGCTACCGTGGTTTGTACGTCTCGCTACCCCGGACAATATAGAAACGACCGCCCTGCTAATATACATGGCTTCGGGTCCAGGCAAAACTTCTGGTTGGAGAGACTCGTGAGCTGTACATTCGCTTCGACAATGGCAAGGACTATACGCCAGGATGGAAAGGTCCCTTCTCGTCAAGGCTGCCTCCTGGAGTGCACGCATTCGTAGTCCCAAAAGAGGACTCCGAGCTGTAAGCTGGCTTCTCCTAGCTATCCTGCTACAGGAGACTGGGCTCAGCACTGACGGAGGGAAGGACATAGGAAACAGCTTGAAATGTTTCTTGGGTCTTCGTCTGACATTCAGGTGGGCGTGCTCCCTTGACCACCGAAATCCAAGGCCACCCTGCTAATCTGTTATATATAAATTAGTCGGTATCAACAACCTACGACCGATTTACAAAAGTCTACGCTTCGGATCCCACTGCTACTAAATTGCATTTACTCCTGGACAATATCGCAGCCAGAATTTGCAAGGGAGTAGATAGGAGCTGTCGAGATGATATCGTGAACCTCGGCAATGCCCCGTCGGTGGACTTGACATATGATCCCACTTCCAAGGTGCTAGATATCACCGCGGCATGGACTACGTACGGTTCGGGAACCACACCAAATGAGGGCTGGAAGACATACATCATGCCGTATACGCCCACCGGCCGCGTGGAAGTTGGTATCTTCAGCCATGATGAGACCGCGGAGGAGGAAGAGATATCGCTCCGTGGGCAGATAGCCGTCGTGGGAGAAGACGAAGAATTCAGTACGGAATCAATCCATCACCTAATGGCACGCTACTCCTACTAATATCTCCATGATCTTAGAACCCACGTTATTCGCCTTCCCCGCCAGACATCACTCTCGTTCGAATATATTCACGGCAGACTTCCAACGACCGACGGGATTACACCCAAAGCTAGAAGTCACGCTAGCTCTCGGCGGCAAGTCGCCTGGTGATACATGCTCACTAAACGCCTACTTCGCCATACCCCAGCCGTTCTTCGTCGACCCGTACCAATTGGAAGATACAAGCCTGCTAAAATCGCTAGGCATCACAGCCCTTATAGCTCTCGAGGGAGAGACAGACCTAGAAGCTCCTGGGTACGAGATGAAGAAATGGGGCTCTACGGTAGTATTAGAGCTCGATACTCAACACTATTTCGACAATCGAGTGAAGGATCACCTTCCTATGGAGTTCACGCTTCCGCTGCATCTGAGGTATCTGGAACCGCATTCTTCCAAGTCCAATCAGACGGCGACACTACCCTGGCCGACAGTATTCTGGGCCTGCTACTCAGAAGAATGTAAGTGGGATCCATTATGCTGAGCACACCTCTACGCGTACTAATTTTCGCTATGTCCAGGGGACAAAATGTCCGCGAGTCCATTCGATAGGAGGATGCTTGGATATGAAGAGTATTTTCCAGAACACACATATTTTTACCACCTCACTCCACAGTTGATCAACAGAACCCAGGCGGTATCGAAGTTGGAAGTGCCCGTTCTGGTCTCTAAGGATGGCCATCTTATCGAGCAGGCTACTATTGGGATTATCGCTATTGGTTTCATATGGGTGGTTGCGAAGACTTTATTAAGTCTCTTGGGGGTTGGCAATAAGCAAGCTGTTGTACACCAGAAGAAGGAATAGTTGGCATATACGGAGTGCATTTGTTATATATACAGTACAGTCGCGAGCATATTGGCTTTCCAGCGTTGCCATAGATTTATCAGTCCGTTGGTATAAGTTTGTTCTCGTAAACTAGCCTGCTCCAATGTGCCACCGTAGAGTTTGACTTCGCGAGACCATACATTCAATCTCGCAAGCCAGACTGCCCGAGCATCTGGAAAGACATTCCTATCTGGTTTCCGGTTTGCATGTGTTGCGTCTGAAATGAAAATTGCAATCCAAAAATGCGGTTCCCGAATTCCCGGTGCCCAGTCTTCGATGATATCATCTTCAGAAGCAACCACGAAAATGTCAGACCCGGTGATCATTGATTGGTTTTCGCGCAATAGCGCACAGGTCCACCCAGACCTCCTGATCTCGGAGTCCGGCACGCATACAATTGGTTAGTAGACATAAAGCGTCTCCACTATCATGCACCTACATGACGATCGCTAAAGCCAACCCGCGAACCAAGCCTCCGCTGCACCTATACCTGCTTCTACCACTGTCCTCAGTACACCTACCTCCGCGATCCTATGCGTCGCAAACGGCGCTTTGATTCAACGTGCGCCTGCGCTAGCGGACAGGTCACAATGGCCCGCCATGATCCTTACGGTCATGTACGAGTACTCGCTGCCAGACTCGAAGTGGCGGGCATACCTTGACAGCTTGCCGCGCGAGTTCGATACGCTGATGTACTGGACGGACGACGAGCTGAGAGAACTTGAGGGCTCGGCGGTGCTAGGGAAGATTGGGAAGCAAGAAGCCCTGATCTTATATCAAGCAGAAGTCATGGTGTTTGTTGAGGTAGTGCATCATCTTATTTAGTGGGCTGGAAAGTGGCTAATATTAGCGCTGTACAGGCTCATAAAGACCTGTTTGAGGGTATCGATATGTCGTTGGAGACGTTTCACAGGGTTGGATCATGGATCATGGCGTTCGCATCCGATCTTGACAAGCCGGATGACAGCCGTAACCCACAGGACGCAATGGACGATGATGATGACGAAGACGACGACGACGAAAGATTCGACTCGTTGAATACATATAAAGCACTGGTGCCATTTGCAAACCTGATACCCGGGGACTGTGAACTCGCAAATGTGGGTCACAATCTCCTGTCAGACACAATAAATCACGATCACATTTACTAACGCCGATGTTTAAAGTGCGAGTTCTCGCCCTCAGAATCCTCAGTATCATTGGTCACGACTAAGGATATACCCGCAAGCACACCTCTCTACATAGACCCAGGCCCGCTCCCACGCTCCGACCTCCTCCGCCGCCTCGGCGCCTACCCAACATCATCCGCGCAGCACGACGTCATAGAAATAGATTCAACCCTAATAATCTCCATCGCCGGAAAGCGGGTACCCGAAATGATACGAGACGCGCGCATCGAGCGCCTCGTCGATGAGGAACTTCTAGAGGATTCCTACGACATCGAGGCAGACGGCACTATACCCTCCGAAATGCTCGTCGTGATCCAGGCGTTCATGGCCGACGATATGACGTTTCAAAGCTACATTGACCAAGAGCGGTTCCCGAAGGCCAAGAAAGACGGGACTACAAGGGATGTGGTATTGGAGATTGTAGAGAAGCGGCGGGAGCTTTATAGAACGACGAATGAAGAGGATGTTGCGCTTTTGAGAAGTGGTGAGACCTTGTCGAAGCGGAAACGGATGGCAGTGGAGGTGAGGCTTGGGGAGAAGGAGATATTGAGGAGAATGGAGGATGTGGTCAGTGGATGGGCTGACGTACCGCAGGAGGTTAGTGGTAGTGGGAGAAGTAGGAAGCGGACAAAGACAGGATAGATGGATACGGTATAGATTATGAAGCATGTGTATGATAGACTTATCTAAAATGGAGTTGACCAGGTTGCAAACGCAAATTCTATGCTGACAGGTACCTAGGTACCTCCTTACCGGAGCTATCCTCTGTCATATAAGCCTTTTTTTTATGATGCTTGTCAATGGCTTGCAAATGTACGGAGTAGGATGTGGCTTCGCCGTTGGCAGTTTGGTTTACGAGACATTAAATGATGTGGTCGAAATAGCAGAAGTGTATTGATTAGTCACAAATATATCACAAAAGTCATATGCATACAAATACTATACACCTCAAAATCCCAAGCCAGCCAATCCAGTCCTAAGGCCTTCTTAAACCAGAGTTCTACAGCAGGCATATTTCAGCGGGAAGACGAGCGCTGGATCGCGAAGCAGCGGAAACTTCAAAAGTGTTGTGGTCGTTGAACAACTACTACCCAACGCTGAAGATCCGGCTAGGTTCAGAAAGCAATTTTCTGCCCTCCGTCGACATGAACAAGCCTTCATGGTGTAGTTGGTTATCACGTGAGTCTCATATCTTGAATATGACAGCCTCTTACAGGCTGAGCGATCTCGAGGTCACCAGTTCGATCCTGGTTGAGGGCAGTTCATTTTTTGATTTTTTTTCTTCTCCTTCGGAGTGTGTTTTTGCTAGAGTCCGGTTGCCGGAGCTCGAGCTGGGGAGCAAAACCCAACGGGGAGCAACATCTATTTTATTACAGTAGTGATACTCTGATCAGATGCATGCTGGGGCCATGGGTTATGTACTTGGCTATGGTCTGATCAAAGCCGAGTTCGAGGTCTAGATGAGTACCTAGGTAACTCATATATACCTTTGGATGCTTCTGTTCCAGGACCCGTCACATATACAGTTTTCGTATGTGGGTATAATTATAATTGCAGCGGCACTACAGAAGCCTTCGCGCGAAAGCTTAAATGGGTGAGCATATATTTGAGTCCATAGCTGCCCGGCTCGTGCAACCGATCAACTCAAGCATCCAACAATGACGCCAAAGCCGGAAGATCTGACCAGCGGTTCATTCTCCAGCCCGCCTAGGGATGCCAAGCACCACTTAATGAAACGAGATGGCCTATCGATGCCATGGGGATCATGCACCATCTGCCAAGATGAAGGACTTCAATATTATATCGCGCACATCCTGCCACGGCATGACCGCGAGAGAGTATGTACAGTTTCCCAAGCCTATTGCTTGATATACGCCTTCACTAACTTTGATAAAGTTTATTGGGTATCAAAATGCAGGTCTGCTACCAGCAGATGTGACATCCCTAGGTCATCTCGATGTCTTGATATATCTCTGCTCGAACTGTCACGGCCTTTGGGATTCGGATGACCCAAGATTGGTAATAATTCCAAAGAACATCGAATTCTTCATCCAGTGGGAGGAGGCAGACTACCGCAGACGAGAGGCTGAGGCAAATGTCGGGAATCCGCCTCCCCAGCGCACTGTTCCACGCCGCGACGATTACGATGGTGGCTACGCATGGTATTATCTCAGCGACAGAAGGCTCCCAAGCTATTTGCAGATGCTGGCGCAAGCAAACCGTTGCAACGTCGACACCAAAGCCTCTCCCACAGCACTCATCCTGAAGGCGGGCAAGGCGATAGGATTCCCACTTCGACAACCGGATGGACATGGAATATCGCATGATGTTCGAGCCCAGCTCTGCCAGTTGTTCAATCTTTGGGAGCGCCCTCCTCCAATGAGCGAACATGCTTCCATCCTGACGACCGAGACTCAAACCGGTCCATCCGATCTCAAGAAGGATCGTAGTCCCACTGACGACGACGAGCCAGGTGGCAGCAAAATTGGCAGACGCGGTGAAGAGAACCCGTCTGAAGGAAAACGCCGAAGGACGGGATCGCAAAACGCGTCCCAGCAAGACGAGGCTGAAGACGATTCCCTAAGAGGAGTAGAGTCCTGGGAAAAGGAGCAGGATTTTCTATTCGGGCCTCATATGACTGCAGCAAAGATTATGGAAAGGCTGGGGTAAAATGGACATCGTTCAGAGTGTAAGTCGTGCACCGATTCCTCCGTAAGTGCCAGCTCACGCCAGATGGCTGACACAGAACGACAAGACAGCATAAATATATAGGATTTGCGAGTGAATTTAAGTCCGCCTACAACATTCCAACATGCGCACGCATGATGAACGAGACTAGGTGTTTTCAATTTCAGGCGTAGGTACACACTTGATATAAGCTTCGTCCCGATTTAAGACACCTATCTGACCTGTTTTTTAACATAGTGATAACAAACAGTAGCATAGAAGCTTGAGTACGAAGAGAATTATCTAATGTCTAGTGGTTTAGTAGCTTTTAGTTGGGTGCCCGTGCGGTGCGAGCCGCCATCTTGTACGATATAAGATTACTGGTAACACTTACCTACATACATAAAGATGCACTGTCTGGTCAGTCCAGAATCCTGGCAACTTTCAGTCGGGTGCCTGTACGCCTACGGTGCAAGCCGGCATCTTGCAGAAATGACGTATCTATCACCTCATTCAATTGCACGTGACTTCCATCTTGGATATATATGGAAGCCTAGGTACCTTGGATTGTCTTGTGAACGAGACAGCCGATCCTCAGGGTGAACTTTTGAATAAGCGAGTGATATCGTATCGTCTGATATTTAGTCCAGTAGCCTCTAAATTGTACATCACTAGTTCTTTAGTTCTGTCTTACCTAGCTTGTTTCCAAGAAGTCCAAGTCTCGTCAATTCTCTGACAATCGATTCGTGGGTCTGTCGATAACCCGATATGGAAAATCCAGGTAATACTACAGCGCCGTTGCTGCGATATTATTCTTAATTGTCCAGTATCAGCTAACACAATCATCTCAATTTATCCGCTAGTCGAGGAAATATCATCTGTCATACAGAATCTTACCTCCACTAAAACTCCATACTCTCTAAAAGTCTTGGAATCCACTCTCAACGAGTATTTTACATCCGACGCATCCTTTGCTCATCCGCTTTGCGCCATTCCGCCAGCTCCAAATTCCCGCGAATATATCTTAGGAATATACCAGTGGTATAAAGTACTTTTCGTCAACGTTGAATTAGAAGTTCTGAGTATAGGTATTATAAGACCTCAATGGCAATTTCCCGAGTTAAAAGCAATTATTCGGTGACGTATCTTAGCATGTTAACAATCTGATGTGAAATAGATTTCGAGCAGCCGTCAAACAAGCTATACGTTGGAGTCAGACAAGCTTGCACCTTTAGATATTTTAAGAGGACCGCAACGGTCGAGCTCCTCACGGCTCTCTCACTTAGGAAAGCCCGGAAGCATGACAAGGATGTCTATTACATTTCTCGTCAAAACGATCTCTATCAGACGGAAGAATGGGTACATTTTCTGATACCTTGCGGAAGGTCAGTCACCTATCACACTTACCAGTAATTGGTCGCACGAAGTAATGTGATGCTGACCGAAGTTGAACATTACACAGACCGATAATCGAAATACTCAAGCTTATGGTGGGAATATTTTGTTATTATTTAAGCCTGATTGGCCTATCTTTAGGCATGGTCACGAAACCATAAATCTCGGGAGTACTCTTGCTTCTAGGATTAGGCTAGGCCTGGACAGCGGAAAGCGGAGGAATCTTTTGAATCTTATCATTGTCGTGGGGACAACAATCCAACAGAAACAACACTAGCGTGCTAGTTCAAAGCGAGTAGATTGCCGACTTCGCCCGGGATATAACTAGAGGATCAGACATGATACTAAATACTCGCTATCTGCCTGTAACTTAGCATATGATACACGAATGAATATTGCTGAAAATACGCGCAACCCAGCATATAACAATTGAAATATAACCAGAACCCACAGCTTTGGCAAGCTGCCGCATCTACCCGCCAACCCCATTAGCCATATATCGTACACCGCCACCTTACCTTCATTCAAGATCTCAAACCCGCATCTCCTCCTCAAGGACTTTATACTCCTTCCTCTTCTTCCTCAAGCTTGGCCGTATCGCCACTTTCGCCTTACCAATCCACCTCGCCAACTGCACAAAGACCTTCTTCTCTCCGAACCAGCTCACCACAAACCCGATCGCGGACAGCAGCACAATCACCACCTTGAACGATGCGGACATTACCGTCAGTTCCATTAACTCTGCGAGCCACTGCGCAGGTGCGATAAGCAGATACGTCACGACCGCCATTGCGATGGCGATTGTCACCACATAGGGTACTGCGCACACGGTTGTATTAGCAATTGATATGGTTATAGGCATCGGAGGGGAGCTTACTATTTTGTGTCATCGGCTTTCTGAACGGTGGACCAACGCTCAATATTACGCTAGCCAGGATATACTGGTAGCAGGACGTCAAGAACAGACTCGTGTTCTGCGAGTTGAAGATGTTTGACTTTTCCGGATCTACCACTGGCGGAATGTACCACTCTTGCTGCTGCACGAGCATGTACACCGCCATTTGCACGAGGAGGCAGATGGCCATCTGTCCGAGCAGTGGAGTAAGCACCTTGCGCGATACTAGACTCGCTGTCGGCCGTTTGACGGAGAGTTTGTCCGCGGGGTCGCTCCAGCTCACTATAGGGATATTTGTTAGTCGTGCGAATATTTCACGTAAGGTTTCGTGGAGATGGGCCAGGCAGGCTTACTGAAGATGGCGATTGGCAGGATGAGAAGTAGATCGATGAACAAAAACTAATCACCGGTGAGTATAAAAGAAATATAGAGGGCAATGATGGAATTACCTGAAAGTCACCCAAGTTTGACCCGGATTTGTACAGAATGCTGACACTGATGAACTGTATAGCGGAATACAAACTCATATACTTGAAGCAGCTAAAGCTAGTGACTAGCGAAGCCCGACCCTCCCTAAAACTAATTAGCACCCATCTGAATATCTCTCTAGGGTACATCGGCACGCTTACCTGATGATCTGCGGAACACACGAAATCTCAAACACCCGGCTCGTGAATGGCGCCGCAACCGATGCCTCAGCCTCCGACAGCGATATGCCGACATCCGCTGCTTTCAGCGCTCCGCAATCATTAGCCCCGTCACCACAGAAGCAGACGGTATAGTCTAGAGTCTGCAGTTTCTCCACAAGTTCGTGCTTTTCGTCCGGCGACATGCGCGCGTAGACCTGCCCGATGACCAGCATCCGATGCATGACCTCTCTTGGAGCAAAGTCGATTATCCACCTGAAAACCTCGCCGCTAACCGCGAGAGAATAGTTCCTCATGTTGCTGATATCATACGGCAGAGACAGGTCTCCTTCCGGCGGTGCAGGCAGCGGATGCAGTGTGCTTTCGTCGAGTTTGTATATCTTATTGTCAATACTCTCCCATTGTATCCTCGCCGTCGGCGTCTGCGCATCGCCTTCGATGAAATGTGGAACAAACACATGCGCCGTTTTATCGATCAGTTGGCATTCACGCGCAACGCTGATGGCTGTAAGGATGTTGTCGCCAGTGCACATGATCCGACGGAGGTTCGCTTGCCTGAGTTCCTTCATGACTCCGGCAGTACTCGGTTTCAGCTTGTTCTCGAAGATGATGAAGCCGCAAAAGTCAAGGTCACGTTCTGCTTCCTCGCGTTTCAT